CCATATATGAAACAACTTCATCAAAAAAAGTATTATATGAAACAATTTCACAAGATTAAACAATTTCATGAAAAAATTTCATAAGATTAAATAATGAAATCAACAGATGAAGGTAGTTTGCACGGTTTACACAAATGAGGGCAGTTTTCATATGATCACTCCTCTATATATATATATATATATATAGGGGCCTAATCAAATGAGAATTGAATTGTTTGTGGTAACTGTGAGATCCAATTTCAACCATAAATCAACGAATAAATTAGGAAATTAATAATTATGGTAGTTTGAGTTAAAATTATAATTAAAAGGCATATTAGGTATTTTTAAAAAACTCATCCCTCCGACCTTCAATGTCCAGCCTCCAAGAACATGGTTATATATATATCCTATATAACCTGTTAAGATCCGATTCTTGAATATGGCTGGCACTTCAAGCTCTGATCCAATCCTCATTGAAGACGATGATCCTTTCCACATTCTTGAATATGATTTCTACATCTCATTTCTCCAAGAACATGATCAAATCTTTCCCATTTCCGATGAGAATTTTGCCCATCAACTCCATCTTCAACAAGCTCTTCTATCATCCCTACCATCATCATCATCATCATCATCATCATTACCACCATCATCATCATCACCATCATCATCCACGATCTTATGTGAAATCTGCATGGACACAAAGCTCACTTCAGAAATGTTCCGAAACACAAACGTTTGCACGCATTCGTACTGCTTCGACTGCATTCGCGGGCACGTAGCCGCAAAGATCAAGGAGAATATAACACAGGTGAAGTGTCCACACCTACAATGCAAAGGGTTAATAGGACCCGAAATCTGTCGATCGATTGTCCCAAAAGAAGTACTCGAAAGATGGGAAAACTCGCTATGCGAATCCATGATTCTTGCTTCTGAGAAGATAACCTACTGCCCATTTAAAGATTGTTCAGCTATGTTGGTGGATGATGGTGCTGAAACCGTGACCTCATCGGTATGCCCAAATTGCAACCGATTGTTTTGCGCATCGTGTAACGTAGTTTGGCATTCGGGTTTCGATTGTAACGAGTTTCGGGGACTAAAGAAGGGGGAGAAAGATCCAGAGGATTTGAAGTTGATGGATCTTGCAAAGAGAAAGAAGTGGAAGAGATGCCCAAATTGCAAGTATTTTGTAGAAAAAGTATCTGGTTGTTTGCACATTTCTTGCAGGTTAGACATTGTCTTGCACATTTCATTACAACAAAATCGGGTTTACAAGACACTCTTAAATTCTAAGTGTCTTAATAGACCTCATTATAGGACCAAAAAAATAAAGTGTCATATCTAAAGGTGTTGTAATAAGTTTATATGACGCTTTTGGATGTCTTAACATGTTTTTTAAGACATTTTTAATACAAAGTGTCGCATTAGCAACTTTATAGGACACTGTCTCATTTTTTTACAGGACACTTGTTTTGATAGGACAAATTTTCAAATAGTGTCCTATAAAGTTGATAATGGGACAATTTATATTAAAAGTGTCCTAAAAAACTTATTACGACGCCAAAAAACGTCATATAAACTTATTACAA